CTGAGAAGGATGCAAGGATTTATAGTTAGTGTATGATAATTGATGCTCGATTGCGTTCCACTCAGTCAGCTAATGAATTTAATCTCTTTAATTTGTTGGACCCTTCAGATTTTCTTATGAAATAAGTCTATATGTTGCCTTACTAGAAGATATTGTCCTGATCCAACTATCGTGGTTGAGTATTAGTATGCAGGCAGCACCATAGGTTAGTTTCATGATTTGGTGTTCTCATTCCTCGGATGTAGCAGGCAAATAATCGACAATACACTCTAGAAAAACTTAAGTAAGAAAGGCTGAATTGAATACAATACACTCTTCATATGACTGCTGTACGAAACTAACTTTGCTGAAGTGACAGCGCTAGATTTTGCGTAGAGCTTGTTCCTGAAATTTTACGGGATCGTTTTAAGTGTTCTGGTCTGTAATAAATGAAGCAGTGACTAGCCAAATTTCTTGCTTTGATAAATTATTGGACTGCTGCTAGTAACTGCCTCTGAATAGGCCTCTGGAAACTGTTGACGGAACTTCATGTCTTACTATGCTGTTTTTCATGCTATGTTGGGCTGGGCATTTCCTAGAGCATCACGTTGAAGAGTTTTGCCTTCCCATATTAAAATTTTCCCTTCAACTTGGTGCAGAAAGCTAGAAGCCAAGCAAACGATGCAAAAGCAGAAGGAAACAAGCATTTTGCAGCTGGACAGTACGAGGATGCATTATCACAATATGAAATTGCACTGCAAATTGCTGCTGAACTGGAATCTTCTGAAGACATATCCTCTGCATGCCATTCAAATCGTGCTGTATGTTTCTTGAAATTGGTAAGACACTTTTCGGGTCGGTTGACAACTCGGAGGACATAGGATACTATCCACATTTGCTTGCCATTATTGCCCATTTACATGATGTGAACATGCAGTAGTTCGGTCATAGTATTTATCATTGCATGAAGATGGTATGGTACCATCATATAATTATTTCTTTTATCTACGGTTTATCCATTCCTGATGTACTGTAGGAATGTCATTACTTTTATCTGTTTTCTGTGTAATCTCGGTAGAAAGCAGGGAGCGGCGATTTGGCTCCCGACGACAGTAAATGCCTTTAGCTTCTCTCTCTCGTCACATCTTGTTTCTCTGATCTCTCTCCTACCGATGGGATGGGGCTGGAGCCAACACTCGTTCTATCCAACTTGAAACGGCGAGGAGTCCGGTGGACTGTGGTGATTGGGCACTGCAACGTGTGGGGAGGGGTGTTGTTTACATGGATGCGACTGCTTGAGTGCCTGATCCATAGTCTCCCTCCTCGGCTCCAGCTGCCTGAGCGACTGATCGCGCAAGCCCCTCGTCTCCGGCGGGCAGAGGTTGTGGATCCGGCTTGTCCGTTGACTCCAGCCATGCCGACGTGCGCTGGCTGAGTTTGTGTAGGTGGATTCTCGGTGGAGGGCCGAGGTGACTTCTCATGCGTGTGGTTCCTTGTTTGCTTGACAACACTCCTTTTCTTCTTCTTTGGATCTTATATCGGTTAATCACAAATCAATTGATTTCCTGCTGCATCCGTGCAATTTGTAGTGCTGCATTTTTTTGTGAATCGATAATTTATTTGTAGCAGCAGCAGTGGTGCTAGATGGGTCATCAACTAATTCTGATGTCTAGAGCATTTGTTTTGTTCATCAACTTTTATTCCCCATGCAGGCCATTTCGTGCAAAGGTTTTTACTGCACAATCGATCTGATTTTTCATGTTCATGCCAATATCTTGTACTTTGACTGGTTAAAAAATTGGGTGCCAAGATTGATTTAGTGAAACATCTATTGTGGTGATGATGCAATCAATCTGTCCTAATCTGGTGCTAATTAGGATGAATAATGGTGTTGCACAATGAATGGGCTGCTGCAGCATAAGTATATCAATGGTAAAGAGAAAGGTGTCCAATCATGTCTTGTGTGAGTGGGACCTCTTCATGTCAGGATAGATGCAAGGGGACGGCGTCCGCATGTCCGCGAACAGAAAAGTTACACTAACACGGTTATTAAAGTAATGAAGATTACTGCAATTTTTGCTTTGCGGACAGCCGTGGACATGCAGATGCTATCCGATTGCATCCCTAGGATAGCAGTACCATGTGTCGGCCAGAAATTATTTAAACACCACAGTGCGAAAATACTGAACACATACAACAATATATACATTCTGGTGCGTCAATCCCCATGCATACCAAACGTCAGGATAAAGAGCTCACCTGTGCTTGGGCACCGTTCTTGATATCCCATTGCTAAGAACTGTGATGTTAAACTTGCTAGACTAGGCCATGTAATTATGTGGTCGATGAAATCTTTGATTTGTAGTCTAATTTCAAATGCCCTTCATGTACTTGAATGAGCGTTTCTGTTAAGTAAGGGTTTTTATTTTGGTCATATCTTATCACACGCAAACTCTGGTGCTGACTTCATGTGATCTAGGGGAAATATGATGAAACAATTAAGGAGTGCACCAAAGCGCTTGAGCTGAATCCTTCATATTTGAAAGCTCTGCTTCGGAGGGGAGAAGCACATGAAAAGCTTGAAAACTATGATGACGCTATTGCTGGTTAGATTTTATCCTCATTATGTGCTTTATATTGTCAATTTTAGTTCAGTGCATTCACATAATTTTTTATGCCATTTTTCATGTTCCACCAGTGCTAAGTTTTGAGTATTGTTCCTCTTCGCAGATATGAAAAAAATCATTGAGCTAGATCCTTCAAATCAACAGGCTAAGAAATCATTGTTCCGACTTGAGCCACTGGCAGCAGAGAAAAAGGAAAAGATGAAGGAGGAAATGATTGGTAACATCTTCCGCTAATGTTTAGACTTTATAACAGCTTTATCTGTGTTTATGCTTCCAGTGTAGTTCACAGCTCTAGCCATCTTATATATGTATAGTAACGTATTGGTCCTGTCGATGATGATATTTGGTTGCACGGCATTCACGATTGTGTTATTACTTGCTGGCACAATTTTCTTTAGTGATTACAAGTGTCATCAGAATATGTGCCGTGAATGTACCAATGTTTTACATAGCTCATATGCCCTCCCAACTTTTGTTGAACAAAAAAGGATTATTCAGCAGGAGGAAGGATTCTGAATTATTCAGACACCATGGTTGTGTCATATGGAATGCCCCATTTAGGCTCATGCACAGCTCTGCACCCTCAGACCTTGTGACATTTGGTTGATTTATTCTTTGCTCATGTTTCCCTATCTAAATTTATGTGATGCAGCAAAGCTGAAAGATCTGGGCAACTCGGTGCTGGGGCGGTTTGGGATGAGCGTGGACAATTTCAAAGCTGTCAAGGATCCAAACACTGGCTCGTACTCCGTTTCTTTCCAGAAGTAGTAGCATAGCATAATGAATTATACAGACGAACATGGCTTGGTGTCCATTGAGGGGGAGCCTCTAGTATATCCTTTGAATCCTGGAGGCGATTGTTGATGATAAGTTATGTAATGGTCTTGCACTCTTGAAGTCAGAACGCTCGATCTGAAGATGAGCCTGACCGTTCTTGGACTTTATTCTCCTTCGGTGCTTTCACGTATGATACACATGTGCATTTGCTGCCTAGGCACTAAGTTGTTTTTTGTAAACGACTCTTCATTTTCTTCTGTAGTATGGATGCACTATCTGTTGTCGAATTGCTTTTATGGCGGCAGATCCTTAGCTTCTCACCTGTTGATCCATTTCATGATTTTATTTGTCCTACAAGGAACAAAGAAATTGGCTTGGCCTGTCACAGTGTTTATCATGCTAGGGAGTTCAGTTTTGAGCCTTGCATCATGCAATTTAGTTTCCATGCGCGTGATCGCCAGTGATAGGTTTCAACTTGATGCCTAATGCATTATTTTGATGCAATGTTGTGCAAACTGGAGGGGAAAAACGTGACAAACTTTTCATTGTATCAACGAATATGCAGTTATCTCAGTCCAATATCAGTAGGCGCATGCGCCTGGGGAAAACACACACACGAATATTCGCCGCGCCATCAGTTGCGGTGCCCGCCGGCCGGCATCGTCATCACGCAATGTACAAAGCCCAAACAAACACCACGCTCGTTAGCTACCGCTCAGGCCATTGGCGTCGGCGGCCGCCTCGAGCCTCCGCCACCGTGCGTCGCGCGCGGCGGCCCGGGCGTCCGCCTCGTCCCGGCTGGCGGCGAGGTCGGCGGCGCAGCGGTCGTAGAGGTCGGGCGCCACCTGCAGGAGCAGCGCCTTGACGCTGGCGGTGACCTGCTGCACGCACTTGCTCCAGTGCCGCTCCAGGTTGTCCTCCACGCTGGCCACGAAGGGCGGCAGGATGCGGCCCATGGCGCCGCCGGCCGACGCCATCTCCAGGAACCGCTCGTTGTTCCACACGTACAGCGCCCGCTCCGCCACCTGCAAATCAAAGCACACAATTTTTCTGCCCGTTCAGCTTCAGCCCACCACTCATCATCAATGCAGTCAAGTTCATCATGATTAGTGCTAAGGATAGGGTAGGGCAATTATCCATGGCTGGATTACACGACAAGGAACGTCTGCTCCGGTCGAATCATCGCCTTGGCAAAGCCGCTTTGCAAAGTTAGTTGTTGGTACTAACGCACTTCAGAATGATTCAGCTGGAGGGCAGGGGGATGATACACTTGTAACGTGGCAGGCAGGGCACCACAACGCCACTGTGAATGTGGGTGCACGGTGGAGTTGGCATCGGCCCGCATTCCCGAGCGGATTGCGTTGTGTCGGGACTGAAAGATAGGGTGGATGGGGGCGGCAGAAAAGTGAGGTTTTTGAACCCGAATTGCACGAACCGTGTGGTACGTACGTGCATCAAGTCGACAAATTGATTAGCCAAAGTGACATCGCTTTATAAAGCCTCTTTACCAATCGCCGAAACTTTCGATCAACTACTGTTCACCTCCTGCAAGCTTTCTTCCCCCACGTGCACCCAACTAACTGTATGTACGGGGGCAGATGTTGGTGCATGCTGAATGGATCTCCTCAAAAGTTGAAACTAAAGCGACGTGTTGTAACGGTATATTCTGCAATCCAATGTCAGTCTGAAGCCTTGGGTTCAGAGATTTACTCTAACCTGACAAAAATTCTAAATTGCCACTTGAACCTGGTACGTTCGTGCAGTAGTGATTAAGCGGGAACGATTTTTTACCTGGGAGCTGCAGCTGGTGGCGCAGCGGGCGATCCGGGAGCAGATGGGCGCGGCGAGGGCGTCGAACTGGCGCTGGTCCAGGGCGTCCACGATCTCCTCCAGCTCGTCGATGAGCAGCACCTCCTTCTGGCAGTTGGTCACGGGCCACCGCCGGAGGATGCCCTCCACCACGGCGCCGGCCAGCCCCGGCTCCTTGTGCACGAACTGCAGCACGCAGTAGACGAGCTGGCGGTGGTAGGCGTGGAGCCACCGCGCGCGGTGCAGCGGCAGCAGCACCCGGAGCAGGAACCCGCGGTGCTCCTCCTTGAGCGGCACCGCGAAGCCGTTGATGATGCTGCCGCAGATCTCCAGCAGCTCCGCCACACCGCCGCCGCACTCGTGGACGGACGCCAGGAGGGCCGCCGACATGGAGCGGCGCATGAAGGCGCGCTCCGGGGTCAGCTTGGCGTAGAGCTGGTGGTACGCGGTCTTGAGCCGGTCGCGCTCGCGGGGGTCCTCGGAGGCGAAGAGCGCCAGGAGCGACGTGAGGAAGGGGCGGTCGACGTGGTTGCGGAGGGCCTTGGCGTCGGCCGCGGCGATGACGGCGAGGAGCACGTCGTAGACCGCCTGGAGGTGCGGCCACGACGGGAGCAGCGACGCCGAGGGGGCCTCCTCGTCAGCCGCCTCGGCGAGCACCGACGGGCAGCACGCCGGCGGCGGCATCGTGCGGAACAGGTTGGCGGCGAGCATCTTGACCAGCGCGACCATGACGAGGTGGTCCAGCCCGGGCGGCTGGTTCTTGCCGCTGGAGCGCACGGCGGCGAGCACCTCCTCGAGCCGCTCCAGCTTGGCGTCCCGCTCGGCGGCGTCGTCGTCGTCCGCAAACGTGAAGACCCGGCAGCAGGAGGCGATCTTGTCGATGAGGCTCTCAGCCTCGGGCTCCGGCTCCGGCGGCGGCAGCTTGTTGCCAGCCGCCGCGGCCGCCGCGGCAAACACGAAGACGCCGTCGGGGTTGTCGAGCTGGAGCAGGTGCAGCAGCGTGGTGGACGTCCTCTTCTTCCTCGGCGGCGGCACCGTGGCGACGACCTCCACCTCGGCGCCCATCGGCCAGCACCCCCTGAGCAGCGACGAGGACCCCACCTTGGCAGCGACGGCACGGCGCTATCAAGGGCGTCACGGGCGGAGAGACACCGCGGGCGGCAACTTAAAGAGGCCCGACTCAGCTCGAGGAAGGAGGAAGCCGCCAAGCGGTGGCGGTGGTTTCGCCGCCCGGACGGTCGCGCGCTCGGGAAACGCCGCGCGTTGGGGAGGACGTCCAGGGTGGTCGTTGGCCGCTACTTGAGCCCCAATCCAAGCTTGGATCTTCCTGGCTCGTCACGTCGCCACCTTTGCGTCGCAGAGAGAGAGAGAGAGAGAGAGAGAGAGAGAGAGAGGGAGGGAGAGGGAGCGGCCCCGCGGGTACGCACGCTCGCACCATGGTGGTCGTCGCTTTATACGCGGGAGGCAGAACTGATGCGCCACCCTTGGCGCCGAGCGTCCTTGACACGTCCACGTCCACGTCCGGCCGGCACTGGCGTTGGCGAGGCCGTGATTCGCCCATGAACCCACAGCGCGCGGGCGGGCGGTGGATTCAGCCGGATCGGCACTGCTGCCTTGCCTGCTCGGCTGGTGCTGCCGCTGGGCATGTGATGGTGTGGCCGTGGTCCTCTTGGCTCACAGGCTCACAGGCGAGCTGGGGAGAGCATGCAAGAGCACGACGCAAACGGCAAATCCAATGTTGACCGTGTTAGACTGTATTTTTTTTTTGAGCATCAGTACAGACACAAGCGCTCATATACACGCGCATACACTCACCCTATGAACGCACACACACACCCTACCCCTATGAGCACCTCCGAGAGACTGAGCCGGTATATCATCTTGAGATTTACGAAGTCACCGTAGGCGCCTCGTTGTCGACGGAAACGTCTCCTCCCACTGAAAGCGTATCGCCGGAAATCCTGAAATAAATCCAGGAATAATGCGAGCACCAGGATTTGAACCCTGGTGGGTTGGGGCTACCACTGTCCACCTAACCAACTCAACCACAGAGTGATTCGCTGTTAGACTGTATATGTATACGTAGGCTTGTTTATAGTAGACTTGTGTATACACCTTGTACTTGTATCCTTTGGTACTTATATATAATGAGATAGCCGCACCCCCAAGGGTGTCGAGCAGTTGCCCCAATATCCTGGTTTAACATGGTATCAGACTAGGGTTTCTTGTATCTTCCGCTGCACCCCCTCGCGCCGCCGCCGATCATCGCCGCCGCCTCGCCCGATGGCCTCCGCCAACCCCGCCGCCGCCTCGGCTTCCTCCACTGCTGGCGCG